CTGAAAGCGCCCAGTATCGCCCGCCAGTGTTAAGGAGGAGAACGACATGCTCCCGTCAGTAATTCGATTTTCTCAGTTTCATGTAAACTAGGACAAGAGACAGAAGTCCGACCAGGCGCAAAACCGAATTATGAGCATAGTCGGACTAAGCTCTGCATGTAAGCGGACTGAGTGAGTATCACAGCTTTGAGTAAAACATGAGAGTAAATATACTCACTGCTGGTCTTCCCGTAGCCTGGAATAGAGACACAGAGAGTTAGAAACATACACACAGCATGTGTCACTATCACTACAAAACTGAATGGAACTAAAATGTTTCACTACTTGGTGTATCATATTATAAAGCAAGGAATCACTGTGTGTGTGTGTGTGTGTGTGTGTGTGTGTGTGTGTGTGCGCATAGCTGCAGGCACCAATTCTGCTTAAGCAGCGATTGAACAGGCCCTGCACTAGTGGTGTCAACGGGCTGGAGTCTCTCAGAGTTCAGAGGAGACGGTCCAGTTTCAGTCTGTCAGTACCTCTGTCAGTGGTTACATATCTATTAGTCAACCTCAGTATGACTGAAGGTCAGTTTCAGTCTGTCAGTACCTCTGTCAGTGGTTACATATCTATTACTCAACCTCAGTATGACTGAAGGTCAGTTTCAGTCAGTCAGTACCTCTGTCAGTGGTTACATATCTATTACTCAACCTCAGTATGACTGAAGGTCAGTTTCAGTCAGTCAGTACCTCTGTCAGTGGTTACATATCTATTACTCAACCTCAGTATGACTGAAGGTCAGTTTCAGTCAGTCAGTACCTCTGTCAGTGGTTACATATCTATTACTCAACCTCAGTATGACTGAAGGTCAGTTTCAGTCTGTCAGTACCTCTGTCTGTGGTTACATATCTATTACTCAACCTCAGTATGACTGAAGGTCAGTTTCAGTCTGTCAGTACCTCTGTCAGCGGTTACATATCTATTACTCAACCTCAGTATGACTGAAGGTCCGTTTCAGTCTGTCAGTACCTCTGTCAGTGGTTAGATATCTATTACTCAACCTCAGTATGACTGAAGGTCCGTTTCAGTCTGTCAGTCACTCTGTCTGTGGTTACATATCTATTACTCAACCTCAGTATGACTGAAGGTCCGTTTCAGTCTGTCAGTACCTCTGTCAGTGGTTACATATCTATTACTCAACCTCAGTATGACTGAAGGTCCGTTTCAGTCTGTCAGTACCTCTGTCAGTGGTTACATATCTATTACTCAACCTCAGTATGACTGAAGGTCCGTTTCAGTCTGTCAGTACCTCTGTCAGTGGTTACATATCTATTACTCAACCTCAGTATGACTGAAGGTCAGTATTACTGGAAGGTCAGTTTCAGTCTGTCAGTACCTCTGTCAGTGGGTTACATATCTATTACTCAACCTCAGTATGACTGAAGGTCAGTTTCAGTCTGTCAGTACCTCTGTCTGTGGTTACATATCTATTACTCAACCTCAGTATTACTGAAGGTCAGTTTCAGTCTGTCAGTACCTCTGTCTGTGGTTACATATCATTTTCAGTATGACTGTCAGTTCAGTCTGTCAGTACCTCTGTCAGTGGTTACATATGTACTACTCAACCTCAGTATGACTGAAGGTCCGTTTCAGTCTGTCAGTGGTTATGTATCCACTGCTCTGTTACAACTCATAATGTAAAAATGACGCATAATGTGAAAAGAATCTTTGTTAACGCATAATGTAAAAACTTTCGACACATAATGTGAAAAATCAGCTCATAATGTTTAAAATGACGCATAATGTAAAAAATTTTTCTAACGCATGATGTAAAACATTTTGACGCATAATGTAAAATTATTTTCTAACGCATCATGTAAGAACTTACCAACGCATAATGTCAAAGGCACTGAATATTTCTAGGCCGCCCTATCCCGTAGGTTAGAATCCAATTTTCCGTCCAGGACAAATTTCGACCAATGAAATCGCCGAAAATTTTGCTCAGTTTGGAGAGCACTGAACGATAGTCAGGTCCTGCCACTGTTCTTGGCTCTTCTTTGCACTCAGTCGACCATTTCTTGGGACAACAATAGACCTTATGACCAGTTAATTATCTAATCAGCAAGGTCCAAGGACCTTGTGCTCACCTCAGTGCAGTAATTTGATCAATGATGAGAGCCCAAGTGGCCAGAAAGTACATTCAGTATTTAAATCAACATAGTCAATGACATTAGGCCTTCATACACTGGTCGACAAAGTCAAAATATTTATTTTGTCACCAGAATAGTCCATTCAAATATACCCTACCTGGTGACATTGTCAAATGTCAAAACCAGAGAAGTAATTGAAAATATAGATTGATATCATGAAGAGAAATTTCAGCACTCTTATACAGGAAGTAAGTAAAAGAACACTGGTTATTTTCAAGTCACGCCCCCTGGCAGCCATACTGGATGTCAAATCATGCTGAACTTGTGTGGCCTACACAGTTACAAATGATACCCAGATATCAAGTTTCAGCGCTCTAGCTTATACAGAAAGTAAGTCAAAGAACATTGGTGATTGTCAGGTCATGCCCCCTGGCAGCCATATTAGATGTCCAATCATGTCGAAACTTGGTGTGTTGCCTCTTAAGTTAGATATGTACCTAGATATCAAGTTTCAGGACTCTAGTTTATACCACAGCTTAGTAATAGGACATTGGTCATTTTCAGGTCATGCTCCCTGGTGGCCACATCGGATGTTCGATCATGCCAAAACTTGGTGTGTGGCCTCTACAGCTAGAGATGTATCTTTATCTCAAGTTTCATCGCTTGAGCTTCGCCGAGTTAGGAAGTAATTGGACATTGGTGATTTTTAGGTCACGCCCTCTAGCTGCCATATTGGAAGTTCGATCGGACTGAAATTGAGTGTTTAGGTAGAGGTCCCCTTATGTATGGTACCTTTCTACAAGGTTTGAAAGTCCTAGGTCAAGTAATAACAAAAGATGACCCGACTGTAAAAAAAAAATAAATAAATTGAAGATTTACCTCTGTGACCTTAAAAATAGTTCAAATCGAAAACTTGGGTATTGTGTCATGGATCAGTCCATCTCAGATCACCCAAATAAAAAAATTGCATTTTTCAACCTGACCCCCTCCAATTTATATGAAATTTAGTATATAGGTAATTCATGGCCAGAAAAGACAAAATTTCAAATTTCGTCTATCTCGGACCAACAGTTTTCGAGATATCGCAATTTCAATTTTTCACTTTTTTGCAAAAAAGAGCGTGGCCGCCGAATTTCAAATGGCTGTAACTCAGCAACCACTTGTCCGATTATGAAAAACAAGGTATTTCTGTAAAGGGGAGAGCACAAGGAATCTAAATTTGGCATTTGTTTGTGCATTTGGGTACTTTTGAGTTGGATGACCTTTTGACCTATATTTTGACCTTGAAATTGACACTGTGGGACACGCCCAACCTCTTTGACACCATTATGAAAAATGTAGCCTTATGTGTCAACTACAACATATAAAAAAAACTGGAGGGGTTTTCTTTTTTATACTCGAGCAAATTGGGATAGAATAGAGGCCTACCTCAAGACTCCCTGTAGGTATGTGTAGAAAGTGTGTAGAATATGTACCCAGAGTCTACTTGTACCTTGTCCAGCTGTGGTATCACCTTGCATTTTTAGCAGGATCATAAACAAGCCCAGATTCTAATCAATGTTTACACTGCAGTTCAGTTGTCTGATTACTTCTATCCTCTGGCTGATAACTAAGCTAGTGTGGGCTAATTAACTAATTAACTAATCTTAATTAGTTCCTTATCTCGGTTACTATGCCTATGTTGTGACAGCAATTTCCAGCAACAAGTCAGTGTTTCTAATCTGAAGCATGTGCTCTGAGCACCTTACACACAGACACTGGGCCCCTAACAGCCATTACAAGTTTTTAGTTTCTCTAAAAGAAAGGAAGAGCAGAATCCGCATTTCCTCGGATGTTTTCTCCACAAATTAATCGATAGATTCCAGAATTTCCCGATTGGTTCAAAGGTTTCACTTTTTCCTCGAGATTTACAACCTACCCCAATACATTGAAGCCAATGAAGTGAATTTTTTTCCACTTCGTTATTTCAACACAGTAGTCTTTAGCCAAAGGTGCTGGACCATTTTATACAAGATAATGAGAAAAACAATTTAATGAAGCATTGTTTTGTGATTGAAAAAGGGATCCATCATAATAGATACTTTAAAGCTATATGTTTGAGCCATTCACTTTACGCAGTTCAGGTGTTTACAATGGGGTCACTGTAATACAGGCTGTACTTACCCCACGCCCTTTTCAGTGCAACATGCATCCAATATAACATATTGATCAGAAGAACATTCGTGTGATGGTAAGAGTTATGAATATAATCCATCTTTTTGGGAAACATAAGATGCTTGTCCACCCCCAAGCATAATGAATTCAAAGCAGTTTTTGCATCATTTCATCATTTTAGTGAATTCTAACCTACGGGATAGGGCGCCCTGGAAATATTCAGTGCGTTTAACAATATGCGTTGATAAGCTCTTACATTATTCGTTAGAAGATGTTTTTACATTATGCGTCAAAATGTTTTACATTATGCGTTAGGAAAAGATTTAACAATATGCGTTGTTTTTAACATTATGAGTTGATTTTTCACATTATGCGTCAAAAGTTTACACATTAGGGATTAATATTTTTCCCGAAAATGAGACATTTTCCATCCCGGGAAAAGAAGCACATTTTCCTGGGAATCCCGGGCAATTAACTTGTTTTTCAGGTATAATTTTGGCTACCGTTACATAACATTGGTTATAGTTCAGGAAACACCATACTTAACAAAGAGACATGTGGGTCCCTAACATGACTGATTTAATGTATTATCTGGTGGTATATATAATTATTGAGGCACAAAAGCGTAATTTCAACATTAATCAATATTATAACAATTTAAACTGCTTAAAGCCCATGCAGCTTGACGTTCGCTGCAGATGAGAGGGAGAAAATGGGGCGACCGTGGCTCGGGAGGTAGAGCAGGTTGTCTAATAACCAAAGGGTTAGCGGTTCAAATCCGCTCTGAGTCATGTGTCGTTGTGTCCTTGGGCAAGACACTTCACCCACCTTTTGCCTCCAGGGTCACCCACACTGGTGTATAGCTGTGTGCGAATGTTTGGTGGTGGTCGGAGGAGCCGTAGGCGCATACTGGCAGCCACGCTTCCGTCAACCTGCCCTAGGGCAACTGTGGCTACAGAGTGTAGTTTACCACCATCAGAGCGTGAATGAATAATGTATCCATTGTGAAGCGTCTTTGAGTGTCCAGAAAAGCGCTATATTATTATTATTATTATTATTATTATTAAAACGCCTGCGATCTGTCGCTGTCTGACTGAACAGCCTCATGGAAATTAGATTTTACAATTCTTCATATTATAAACTAAGGAAATTCGTTAAGGCAAGTAGTTTGGTGCTTTCATAGGTTTTGAGCTGAGATAGATTCCATAACCTGCTCGCATTCAGACGCTGCGGGTGGCCGGCACGGTGTGAGCCGCGGTGTCAGACTGTCGGCTAAATAATGTCAACAATCTCTCAAAGTTAAAAGGCAACGTTATAAAACGCATCCACTCACTGGGTGGGAGGTTTCAGATGGATTCAGGAGATTTTTCTTTATTCAATGAGAGCCCCATTTCACTAAAGCCCGCTGCATCTCTGTCTGAAGTGTTTTGCATGAAGTATGAATCCAGTGTTCTTGTAGTTTTGAGCTTTCACCTGGAGTTTTGTCTGAGATTTTAAATGTTGCGGTGAGCCGACTGTTGAGCCTCAGTCTCGCGCATTTGATCCCTCCCTCAGACAGCGCAGCGCGTCCTCATTATTAAATATTTTGAAGTAAGCTATTATGAAGTATTTCCACTCACAGCTGATGTCAAAAATCGTGTTGTGTTAGTCTAATTCAGATTATAGACCCACAAGTTACTTAACTAACTGCGTTAACAGTCAGAAGTGTTTGAATTCAGGGCGTTTTGTGATTATTAATCAATTAAGGCCGATGTTAATCGCACTTATACGGCGACCAATGCTGAATTTTTTTTCTTGGCCACACTTACTCGCCTTCGCCAGTTGATGACCATCAGTTTTTAGAAAGTACCGCTTAAAATAGCCTCGTTTGGCGAGAAAAAATTTTACTTTTGGACACACTTAAAACAAGAAAAAAGCGAGCAAAGCTCACGTACCCCCGCTCCCCATTTGTCGCTCAATGAATGTCAATAGCAAATAACGCTTCTATGGAAATGTAATATGCAGTCATATTCAAATCAAGTACCAAAAAGGTCCATTTAGTGTACAAACTTGTCTCCATTGATGCCTCCTGTCGATTTTCGTACTAAGTTGAATTAAGATTCAAGGGCAATAACTCCGTCAAAAATACAGTTTAAGAACTTCGGTTTGAAACTCGTTCGAAATATCGTCAGGAGTACCCACAAGCAAAATATCATTGATGTAGGGGTAGTAATTTCGAGTAAACTTGTTCCCATTTGGCGTCCCAGCCAATTTCGCACCAAGTCGAATCAAAGATTCAAGGGCAATAATTCCGTAAAAATGAAGTTTCGAACTGGGTTTCGAACTTCGTTCAAGAGTATCGTCAGGAGTACCTACAAACAAAATTTCATTCATCTAGGTGTAATAGTTTCGAGAAAATTTGTCCCCATTGATGCATCGGCAGATTTTTTTGCACTAAGTCGAATCAAAGATTCAAGGGCAATAACTCCGTAAAAAATAAAGTTTCGAACTGGGTTTGAACTTTCGTTCAAAGTATCGTCAGGAGTACCTACAAACAAAATTTCATTCATCTAGGTGTAATAGTTTAGGAGAAAATTTGTCCCCATTGATGCATCCGGCGGATTTTTGCACTAAGTCGAATCAAAGATTCAAGGGCAATAACTCCGTAAAAATAAAGTTTCGGAACTGGGTTTCGAACTCGTTCAAAGTATCGTCAGGAGTACGTACAAACAAAATTTCATTCATCTAGGTGTAATAGTTTCGAGAAAATTTGTCCCCATTGATGCATCCCGGCGGATTTTTGCACTAAGTCGAATCAAAGATTCAAGGGCAATAACTCCGTAAAAAATTAAAGTTCCGGAACTGGGTTTCGAACTTGTTCAAAGTATCATCAGGAGTACCTACAAACAAAATTTCATTCATCTAGGTGTAGTAGTTTCGAGAAAACTTGTCCCCATTGTCCACTATAGAATAAAGTAGAAAATGTGGCGTTTCCATGGAAACGTCAGAAAATTGACATCCCAGAAAGCTGAAAATGACTGGATGCGTAGTTTGTGACATGGTTCACGATTGTACAAAGTTTGGTCGAAATATTTCCAACGGGTTTTTGAGATATGACCCCGGACGGAAGGACGGACGGATGGGCAGGCGGGCCGCTATATACCGAGGGGTACAATAAGTGTGGGCAATGGAGCAATGTGCATCTTGGCCACACTTATAAGTGCATCTAACGCGAATTTCGACCAATTTTTTGTACTTGAACGCACTTAAATAAGTGCGAATAGTCAGTTAGATTAATTTAAGTAGCTATTCTCTTTCCCTACATGCATACACACACACACACAAACAGCTGTTCCGCCTGCGCACACACACAGCTGTTGAATATGTTTTAAGAAAGTAAAATAGGCCTACATATTTTCTAAAAATATTCCATTATCTTATAAATATTTTTTCAATGTTTTTTTCCCGGATTCCCTTTTTTCTATTTCCGTGGAAACGGGAAATGGTTTGGAGGTCAAATCCCGGGAATCTCGTTTCCCGGGATTAAACCCTACTTTACATTATGCTTTAACTAAAAATCTTTTCACATTATGCGTCGTTTTTACATTATGAGTTGTAACATGCTCAACCTCAGTATGACTGTAGGTCAGTTTCAGTCTGTCAGTACCTCTGTCAGTGGTTAAGTATCAATTGCTCATCCTCAGTATCAGTGTCAGTATCTGTGTTAGTCAGGCTCAGTGTGTCAGTATCTGTGTTAGTCAGGCTCAGTGTGTCAGTATCTGTGTTAGTCAGGCTCAGTGTGTCAGTATCTGTGTTAGTCAGGCTCAGTGTGTCAGTATCTGTGTTAGTCAGGCTCAGTGTGTCAGTATCTCTGTTAGTCAGGCTCAGTGTGTCAGTATCTTTGTTAGTCAGGCTCAGTGTGTCAGTATCTGTGTTAGTCAGGCTCAGTGTGTCAGTATCTGTGTTAGTCAGGCTCAGTGTGTCAGTATCTGTGTTAGTCAGGCTCAGTGTGTCAGTATCTTTGTTAGTCAGGCTCAGTGTGTCAGTATCTCTGTTAGTCAGGCTCAGTGTGTCAGTATCTCTGTTAGTCAGGCTCAGTGTGTCAGTATCTTTGTTAGTCAGGCTCAGTGTGTCAGTCTCTCTGTTAGTCAGGCTCAGTGTGTCAGTATCTTTGTTAGTCAGGCTCAGTGTGTCAGTATCTCTGTTAGTCAGGCTCAGTGTGTCAGTATCTTTGTTAGTCAGGCTCAGTGTGTCAGTATCTGTGTTAGTCAGGCTCAGTGTGTCAGTATCTCTGTTAGTCAGGCTCAGTGTGTCAGTATCTCTGTTAGTCAGGCTCAGTGTGTCAGTATCTTTGCGTATTTGTGTATCTGTTACTCAGAATAAGTGTGTCAGTATCTGTGTGTGTCAGTGACTCTCACCTGAGTTTCTCTTCCACCAAATGAGGACACCAAGAGCAGCGATGGTGAGGGTGAGGAGGATGAGAGCTCCCACCACACAGCCGATGATGATGCCTGTGGAGGAGCTGCTGCCGTCATGATTAACATGAGCTGCAGACACAGAGAATCCCATTAAACACACACACACACACACACACACGTATGCACGCACACACACAATCTACACAATTGTTGATCAATACATAGATGACATCTTCAACTAGACAGTCGGGTCGGCTGCAACCGCATGGGTGTAGCCTAAAAGCTCCCACCGAAAATCCCCTTTTTGTCTCCCATCGCGTCTGGCGAAAGGACATTGGAATGCAACCCGTCCATGTGTGCGTGTGAAAAGTGGCTTTAACATGACAACTCAAAAAGAAAATGGATTACAGGCCCTGTGTTCTGCATATAAGAAGATTTGATTATTAACCAGTTTCCAATTTAATATCTGTGGCGACAGGAGACCTTGGGCCTCGCAGCCAACTTGTTTCACATTATTTGGGCCATAACTGTCGCCGCGGCAACCAAAATCGATAGGTGTCACAAGTGAAGTATAATATGTACATACGAAATACGAAAGTAATCAGTCAAAAATTACAGCCTGTAGATCGTCCACAAGAAAATGTCTACGGCGGCAGTGACTCTCGTGAATCCATAGTAGCCGCCCGACTTCGTTCTGGGGGCTACAATGATAATCTATGACTTTCATAAATGTATCATGATATGAAACCAAAAAATAACAAATCTGAATAAAAATAATTAGCATCCGAGGCCATTTGTCCCACATCAGTGGATAATGCAACAGTGTTAGCTGTGTGTGGCCGTCACAATCGTGACGGCGCTGACTGTTCCAGAGGTTCAAAGGACGCTTTAATTAACCCCTGAAGTGTTTTAGGTTTAAATTAGGCCTCTCTTACATTTTCATCTGAGAAAAGGCTCCCTCTCGTCCTCAACCATAACACAAGTCATGTATTCATCAGTCCTCAGCTTGTGCTAAGGACCAGTGACACTGGTGAAAGGCCATAAAAATTCAGTAGAACACGAAGATAGGGGAGAGAGAGAAAGAGAGAGATGCTGTGGGCCCCCTCTCACTCTCTCTCCCCGCTCACTCATTCATTCACTCACTCTCTCTCTCCCCTCTCACTCATTCATTCACTCACTCAAATTTAAATGCTTTATTGGAATGACATATTCAAGATACATATTGCCAAAGCAACAATCAACAATTTTAACATATTAAAACAACAATATTAATTCTGATAATGGTGGATGTAATACTATTGAAATTGATCATCTATTATTAATTTATCAATAATAAAATGAAAACTAAGTATGTAGTTTTAGGGGAAAAAAAAAAAAAAAAAACGCTGTGAAAA